ATTTGAGAAAATTGTCATTGTTACATTTCTTTTAATTTTAATTTCTACGTGTATATTTTATGCAGCAGCTTTATATCAAATCGGTGGTAAATTTATATGTGTTCAGGTGAATACAGTATAACTTTTTGATTGATTGATAGTTGTAGTTCTGTATGTCTCTTGGAGGAAAATGTCACTTGTATGAGAGGTCACCTGATGCTGGTGAAGGCTTCAAATTTAGACCTCTACTTATTCGCACGATACTCAGGGCAATTGAGCAGTGAAAGTTCTCTGGCGTGCAAACATGGACATGGTGCGCCCGTTCGAGATCTCATTTGAAAGACCTGCAACTTAAACTTCTAAGTACTAAACATTTTGTGAAGGAACAGTTTCTACCTATATTTCTTTTATCATTTTGTGCAACCAGGGCATGAACCCGAGATCACAGAGAGATATATCGAGCTACATGACAGTACTTTACACGCAGTGTATTCTCTCCCAGTTCCCTTTACCATATGAAATTAAGGCTCATAAATCATGACCGCATTTTGCTTTACTTAAGTTGCAGGTTTGCATCTATAAAGTAAATGATATTTATATTTACAAGCAATATGTGCAAATCCAGGATTTTTTTTAAGGGGGGGGGGGGGTGTTCCACACCCTTACACAAGAATGTACATGTAGGCCTAAACATAGCTCTTTTTCAGTGTTCCCTTTCCTACAAGAAAATATCTATGAATTCATAAGTTAACAGGAATCTTTAGTGATAGATGGAAACAAATCATATGATTGACACATCACTCAAATAATGATATACATTTAAAATATTTCTTTATACTTGATCCAGAAGAATTACCATTGGTGAACCATGAATGAACCATGTCATGTTGTACAGGAAATGCAAATTGCTTATGAATCTTTGCACTCTGTTGCTTTAAAATTATTGTGGTTAAAATGCATAAAAACCACCACATTTACAAAAAGGGTAACAAATTCATCAATTTTCTACCTTCTCAAATAGCATCACTTAAAGAATCCCATATACTTGAAGACACATTGACCAACATCTTTTTCTCCGCTTCCTACAAACTATAATTTTTTTAATAAATTTTAAGCAGACGATATCTTTCTTTGCCCAGAGAAGTTTCATCCTTGATGTTTGATCTTGTGATCTTAAAATCAACATGAGTCATCTGCTCCTTAGGGGATACCAGCGTACTTTCCTCAAATCCGCCATTTTCATGTATAAAGAGTTATAAAATTCAAAATGGGAAGAGGAACGTTTCTAAGATATGTGTTCAGGCTTATGAAGCCATTGTCTACAGATAGGAGAGGAACGTTCCTCTTATGAAGCCAGTGTCATCAAATACGAGAGGAACATTCCTCTTATGAAGCCAGTGTCATCAAATACGAGAGGAACGTTCCTCTTATGAAGCCAGTGCCAACAGTTAGAAGAGGAACGTTCCTCTTACGAAGCCAGTGCCAACAGTTAGGAGAGGAACGTTCCTCTTATGAAGCCAGTACCAACAGTAAGAAGAGTAATGTTCCTCTTATGAAGCCAGTGACAATAGGAAAGTAACGTTCCTCTTATGAAGCCAGTGTCAATAGGAGAGGAACGTTCCTCTTATGAAGCCAGTGCCAACAAATAGCAGAGGAACGTTCCTCTTATGAAAACAATGCCAACATTTAGGAGAGGAACGTTCCTCAGATTCATTGGGCTCAGATTTATGCATATATTGTTAATATTTTAAAATGGGAAGAGGAACGTTCCTCAAATGTTCAGTGTATTTAGATTGATGTTTGTTGTATCATTGATTAGAATTGGTAGAGGAACGTTCCTCAAATATAATCTGTATTAGGGTTCATGGATTTAGTATGTATTATCAATTGAAATTGATACAGGAACGTTCCTCGTATAGCATTGTATATACAAACACACATATTTATTATGAGCAATCTGAAATAAAAGAGGAACGTTCCTCAAATACAGTTTTTGTGCATAGAACTAAGGAGACAACGAGGAAGATTTCTGATGAAGAGGAACGTTCCTCTCTTAAATTGCACTTAAAGTGGCGAATTTCTCAAAAAGCTCCCTTGTAGAGGCTCACTTATTGACTTTAAGACCACTTTCGACTTCGGATTTGAAAAATCAGGTTTAAAAAAGGAATTTTGATTTTCTCTTTTTGATTTGGATTGTGTTTTATTTTTTTTTTTACCATTGATCTCAGATTTTACTGAAATTTTGGTCAATGTAAATTATACAAAGTCTGAATCATTTTCTCAGACCTTTGGATATTGTTTGAAAGAACACTGAAATAAATGAATTGTTGCACATACTGATCTTCACATACAATCATATACCTATATAATTCTTCTGAAGTAAGAGGATCCCAAAACCCATGAGGAGCATAAGATGATCTCTCTGCTTTGTCTATAAGCATTTGGGCATGGTTGATTTGTTGCAACGCAGATTGAAAACACAATTGCTGAGTTAAAAACAGTTTTAAAAAATCAGCAGGCTCCTTAAACATTCTGGCTTCAAATCTAAAAATCAATGAAAATCAACATTAGTAAAAATACTATATCAAATCGGTGGTAAATGTACATGCAATAATCATGGTTCTAAATATGTTTCAGAAAAGCAAATGATTTTTCACTTTTGTAAATTTTAATTACTATAAACTTTCTTACTAAAATTGCTATATGTTCCTTATTTTACTTGAGTACTTAATATTGCCAACTGGTTCATTGGGTTCAAATTGGGAGAACATAAATTTTTGAGTGGATTGTATTATGTGTTTCATTAATAAAAAATAAAAGAGCGTTATATCATAATCTCTGCTTCTTAGGAAATTACATGAAAATAAATCCCGCCCTTTAATAAAAATCTACAGTTGTAAAAATTACAGAAATCTTTGAAATAAACATGATAAAGCAATATTTATAAAATACTAGGGATAAATATCATACACAAAGTTGAAACAGGTAGCATGAAATAATTGTATGTAACATGTGGCCAGCAGTAACTAATTACCCTCTTTGAGGATACAATCATAAAGCTGGGAACCTCAGATGTGTATATTTTTTTTATTTTCTGAATTATCAGTACTCTGGTAATCATATCATTGGCAGATAGATCACAGTAAAATAATCGATTATTTCACCCCTTTATTAATACATGTACCTCAGTAAACGTCCCAGCTGGACACCTGGCTCCCGTGCAGGATGGAAAGAGATGGTTCTTGGGTCAGGAACACCCTGGTCTTTCCTATTCATGTTGGGATTGGCAAGGGGGTCATCACTTGCTGAGGAATGTTGTGATGCTGACATCCTAAAATATTTACATTCCACGTTTATTTTGCTTACAAACTTCATCTTTCAAAAAATAATCAATTTTTGGTTTTGCAAAGATACGAGTTCATGTCATGTTCCCATGTCATTTTATACATTGTTTGACCCCATACAAGATTCCCTCAACTCACATATTGTTATACACCAATTAAATATTAAGAGACTTAACAGTCACACAAGAAGCCTCATATATGGACAGATGGAGGGGTGCAACCCAATTCTAAATTCAAAGATAAGAATTTTACACATTCTTGTTTATGCTAGGTTTTTGCTTTAAATAGGCCTGTCAACATGCAAGCTTCTGAGGACTTATCCTGAGTGACAGGGTCCCAAACATGGGTTATGCCTGGACGCACTGAGGGCCCCCAAATACGTAGTTTACTAAATTCAAATATCGCCCCTTAGCTCCAATTCCTGTGACTGCCCCTGGTGTGTTTGTTCAATTGGTTATACGGAGCATGCGGATAATCATGATAATACCCCCCCCCCCCCTTTTAACACACACTAGTTCCAACGCAGGTCAATGATTTGCTTGAAGCGATTCATGTAAGCCTAAGTAAAGTGGAAATTCAATTCATTATTTACTCATCTCTAATAGTAAACAGGGGGTCATCTGGTTCCCCGTCCAGTGCATCTTGCAGCAAAAGATCTAAAGCATCTTCTTCATCTGATGAGATGAGATCATTCGCCATCATAAATTATATCAAAGTAATGTTACGAGCTAGTTGTTTACCGTTTCAGCGGAAACACTTTTTTTTCTCTCTCTCTCTCGATATGCACCACCTCGTACCGGGAAGGTTCATGTGAGTTTCGCTCACGTTAGACTTTGTTTTATTTTTAAAAATTTTACACAAATTTATAAAAATTATATATGTACAGCATGATCAAAATTGATACTAAAATGATTTTCCCATGTAAATATGATAACAGACAGAACCAATTACTTAAAATAAAGAAAGAAAGCCAGAAATCGGCCACATAGTTATGCAAAATGAATATTTTCATTTAATAACACTTAACTTTTAAAATTAATATTATTTGTTTCATGATCGTGTTTTTTGTATACAACATAGAAATGTTCACATAAACTGAGAAAAGGCAATATATGGCATGTGATTTATGTTCAGTGTTTGACGTCCAACGAAATCGGCTCTGTGATCGAAGCGATCCCGATTTTCGTCGTGAAATTATGCGGAAATCATTTTTTTTTTAAATTATCATAAATCAGACAATGATTAGAGTTATAAAATCAATGAAGACTTGCTGGAAAGGAAATTTCCTCTACTTTTTGGGCTATTTTTTGTTTTCTCTATTTCAATATAGAAATGTAAGTTAAAAGGGGTTTTGTGTTAAAATTACAAATGAAAACGAAAAAAACGCATATATAAGAAAAAGCTTGATTTTAAGAAATATATTGAAGTAATATTGTTAATTTTTACATATTTTAAAAGCAGAAAAAATGTTCTTTCAAGATATATAAATATTTCTGCATTTGATAGAAAGGGGAAAAATATCCCTATCATAGTGAACATTTCACTTTCTTTGGAGCGTTACGTAATTTTCAAAATTTTAAACTTTTTTTTACAAAACGCAATATGTATTTAATACAAACAAAAAATACTACAGAAAATTTCCTAAATAATGGTATATCATTTGTGTACTTTTATGCCATGGCGAAGAAGATACGTAAACATTAATTTTGCGAAGTCCAGTTTTTAACGCTCTCGGTCATATTGACCGATACGGTAGAGAAGAGATTAAGTTGGCAATCATCAAATTCCAAAACTATAAATATTTTCAACATTTTTTTTTGGAAGGGGAGAAAAGAATATTTACGATTGCAATAGACCCCCTCCCCTTTTTGGGACTGACCAATTAGTCCGTATATCTAAATTGGCAACTAAGAAAAAAATTGCCTGGCGACTAAAAATTTGCATTGGCGACTAATTTTTTTATAAGGAGCCAGCTTGGGCCTAAATTAGAGGTCTGCTATTATTACATGCAATTATACTTAACAATATTTAGTAAAATATAATTAACTTAAGATTACTATTATAGAATTTTTGGTTTTGGGATTACATATTATAAAATCTGCAATTCGATATGCTTTCAAAAGGAGCATTTTTTTTAAGAGCAGGAAAGGTCAATACGAGAAATAACGAGAAATTCATATTTAAGAAAAGCAAAACCTTTTTCATGTGTGGGGTTCAATACAATTTCATGTACCTTCATTAGATAACGTTGACAGCCTTTATTTTGTGGTATAAAAAACAGTCAGAGCATTTTTGTCGTCCTTTATTCGATGGTTGTTGTATATTGGTATATATGAATTTGTAACTAAATGAGATTAACAGGCAAACAAGTGCACATGCTCTTACTTATAGGAGGCAAAGGAAGTTTCTTCATGCCTCTACTCTCGCTTTATTGAAATGATGATTCACCGTGTGATTTCTTACCTCAGGTAACTTTCTGAATACTAAATTGCAACAAGTAAAGCACTAGCAGGTGGGGGCGCGCAGAAGAGAGAGAGAGGGAGAACGTTTACATTCTCGATATTTTCGAAACATTTAAGGTGGCAAAAATACTCAAGTGTTGCATTGTATCGAAGTATTCAATATTCAGTCATTCTGAAATAAACCAGTTTCAAAATATATGAATGAAAGCAAGAAGGTAAAAAATGAAAATAACAAAAGCAAAATTTAATTTAAAAAAAAAAAACAAAAAACAAGCATTGCATTTGTAAGTGCAGTCATCCTTTTATTGTTCTTTTTAGCCGCTTTAATGAATATCCATGAGTTGAAAGTAAGTAGAATCTCTGTGTTCGTGAAAAAAGATGAGTATATATGATAATTATTTAATTTTTCTAGGTTAAAGAAGCAAAAGAAAGCTTTGCGGATTAAAGTCCATTTTTTTTTTCTTTATCTCCAGAATCATTAGGGTAATTTAACAATGTCTAACGCCGAGTATCCTTGCTCAAATGGATTTCAAAGAACTACGCATACTAACTCTCGATGCCCTCCTACATTTTACACCCATTTAATTCAATACTAATGGCAAATTTGGCCGTTAAATTTTTGTTGAATACAAAGAAAAGTTCAATGGTAATTGACTGATAATTTTAATTCCAATGTTAGACAGTTAATTACCCCTAATTCCAGCTCTTTAAATAAGGGGGGTAGACGATATTTTTCATTGAAATCGGGCTTTAAAGCATCACCATATTTTAAAATAATCTTGGAAATAAACAAATGTTCCTTCAATCTTTTCTTATGTTTTACTCATATAGAATTAAACATATATTATTAATAAAATACAATGTTTTAGTTTGAAATTGGTGAAAAAATAAGCATTTTTGTACTTTTTGTCTGTAAACAAATCCCCCCCCCCCCCAGTGAAACACAAAAACCTTTGGTATGAATTTGTGAAATGACAGTCCATATTACCTGTAAAAAGGAATTTTTGCTTCACGGGGGGGGGGGGGGGATGTTTTAAAAATATTTTCCGTTTTCCGATGATTTCTATAGTGAAGAACACAAGTTTTACCAAAATTATAGCGTTATCTCTCTTTGTTTTCACAAAGAAGTAATGTTTTATGAAAATTCATATAAATATCTATATACCTATGAAAAAATCATTCAAATGTTTTAACTTTTGAAAATTGACTTGGAGGTAGGCGGGAGAACAATACTATCGTTCGCAGTTTTTTGATCAAGCAAACGGCAACTGCAAAAGCAGAAAATGAGTGTAGTCATAAAAAATGTATATTTATTCTTTAGAAATATTGGGCCAGAAAACATGAAAGAACTTAACTGTAAAGATGTTCGAAATGTGTGGATTCAATCTTATTCAATTATTACTCTTATTGTAAGGGAGGGGTCACACTAAGAAAACAGAGTTTTAGATAGGATTTTTCTACGAAAAAAAAAAAAATTAAAAAACCTTTTTTTTTTGAATAGTAGGGCCATAGTTAATCTAATTTCCAGTAATATGAAAGCATCCATTTTTAACAGCAGAAAGATCAGAATCATTGCCATTTAACTTAGGTCGCGGGTTTGCTGACGTCGTTAAAACTGGGTACGCAATTTATATAATTTGGGCGACTTTCTTGTGCACATCTGATTATGACGTCACAATGAAAAAGAAATCTCCGATGATTTTTGTTTTATTAAATTCTTCAGTATATCATAATTTAGCTATAACTTTTCTTGGAATTGGTACATGTAGTTTAGTGTTACATTATATAAGCAACGACTTATCACAAATAATGAAGGCTTTTAACGATTTGTATAGTCAATACAATACTTAGATATAACTTTTGTTGGAATTGGTAATTTAGTGAAGAAGGCTTATTACGATTCGAATGATCGACACTGGAAGTATTAAAAAACGTTTAATTATTTGTTATCAATCGCATCTTCTCGGGCCTTTTCTGCAAGCTTGGAAAAACAAGTGGTTGTTTTTCGGCTTGTCGGAAAGGCCCGAGAAATTGCGATTGATTTGTTTTCACTTGGTACGGTTATGGACACAAGGTTCAACTGACCTTTTTTTTTTCCTTTGATCGTATTTGAATTAACAGGGTTTTTTTTAAAATAAAGAATGCATTATTTTAAAAAAATGCAAATACATCTGTTACATCAAGAGATTAAACTTTATTTTTAAAAAGGACATATTTAAATTATATATATAGATTAAATACTGCTAAGGTACGATGAAACATATAGACAATTTTTTAGCGACACTGACTTCCTGTTAGGGGACAACTATTTGATTCTGAGGGAGAGGGGGTGGCAAACTTTACCGAGACAGATTGTTAATTTTCATGTCGGTAAAGGACAGATTATCTATTTCCAAAAAGAAAAAAAAGACAAGGACAGATTATTTATTTTTTCTTTACTGAAAAAAGTCTGACAAGCAAAAAGAAAAAAGAAAGAAAGAAAAACATCAAAGTTGAAAACTCCCATGGGGGGGGGGGGGTTGCTATATTTTTTTTTCTTGCCCAGTCGAGGACAGATTATTTATTTTCAACATTTTCGATGATAGCTTATTTATTTCCAAAATCTGCAAGCCCCCCCCCCCACCCCATCCCATCCCCGATTGAAATGTTCGTCCCCTAAGCAACAGCTTGCAATGCTGTTACCTACAGATTTTATTCACTCTGCTTTCCATGTCAAACTAGTAGAATTAAAGTTCTAAAAAAAATAATAAAAAAAAAACTGGCTGTTGATTACGTCAGATAAAATTATTTTTTTTATTTTTTTATTTTTTTATTATTTTATTATTTTTTATTATTCTTAAAGTCCCGTTTACCCCTCTGAAAATGTGGTATGTAAAATAAATATTTTGTTTAAATATATACTGAAAATATATTGTACTTAGCCGGGACGATATTTGGCAGAAATTCGTAGATTTGAAGGCCTTGCTGGTCTAAATAAAAACATTTTATATAGTTACTTCAATTACTTAGATTAGAGGATACCGTTTTCTTCCAGCACGCTGGAAAAGAAAAATACACAGACATATGTAAGGATACGTCTAATCTTCTGTTGTTTTACGTCCCTTGCGAGAATTCACTAATATAAGACGTACAAAAAACCTAATCTGAAAAGAAACATGTCTAATAATCATTCCATTAATATTGAATTATTATGATACGCTTCACGGGTCACTTGAAAGCAGACAGACGTGAATTTCTTTTTTATAAAAATTATTTTATCTTATTTTTCTGCACTGAATACCGGATAGATATTCACGACGTCAAGCATGACGTCGCGATATTTTATGACGTCGTTCTTAAAAATGTTACATTTTGCGATATAAAAGCAATTATCCACATTAAATAACGCGAAAACTAAGCCGAAGACATATTAATTTTATCACATTAATTTATTTCAAATACCAAAGGGGAAACAATTTCGTCTGCACCATTTAAAAGTTATTGATATATTTTAAAACAAAATCTTGCGTCAAAAAGAGCCGAAAACGACGTTTTTCTTATATAATTCAATAGAATACCGTCAAAAATGTTACGACAACAATGGCATGTTTATGATTTAATTACACAAAAACGGTGCAGAGGAATTTTATAAAATTTTCAGAGAATGTAAAACGAAGGTATAGAATTCATATAACTAATTTTCACGGTATGTTTTCGGACACTTTTAAATGGCCTGCAAACCCGCGACCTACGTTAAAGTAATTAGTCAGAATTATACGTGAAGCATTTTGGTTTTCTTTCAGGAAAAACAAAAAGGAAAACAAAAAAAAGCGAGTTCAATACGCTTAACGAGAAGAAAGCAAAAAACGAAGGAAAGGTCCGAACGAAGTCTACCACTAAATCTTTGACTTTCTTCGACTTTGGAGGACAATGTGCGTATTATGCCTGTCATCAGATTTACCTGACCCGGAGAGCTTTCTACATAGTGGTACTGGACGCCTCAAAACCATTTGACCAGGTGGTTGAAAAGGAAGTGTGTGATCAGGCAGATAGTGTTTTTGCTGACTGGACGTACATCGGTATAATTGTTTATAGTACACATAATGGTACTGTGGAATTATTTTCATTCGTGGGGGTCAATGTACGTGGAAAAGTAGACTTTCTTCTTCGTGGGGACGTTATTTCGTGGGTTAGTCGTTCATACGGAAGATTCACTGAATTAATAGGTTTACAAAATAAACGTTTCTAGATGTAAATGCGTGGTCAAGGTGACCACGAACTCCAAGAACATTGGTCCCCACCAACAATAATGATTCCACAGTAATTTAATTCACAGCAAGAGGTATTTTTCGAATCCTTACTTTTGGTTTTCTTTTATATGTGCCAGGGATGCACTTGATCACAATTGACGATAAACGTTATGCAATAAGTTTTCCTGAAAAAGAATCAAATCGCTGTTTTGTCTTTTTATAAAGGTTATTTCCTTTTCTGGTTGAAATCCATTCATACATACTGCTGGCACAATACTAAAGACAAAGGAGCGGAGGTCATAATTGTAGCAACACACTGGGATAAAAGTATCCACAAGGTAGCAAAGCTGCATAGTTATATGAATCTTGATCTTAGGTGGAATGTTGTCTCAATCATGCTTTGTTAACCTTTCCTGTCTCGGTGTCATCAGCATTTTTGTTCCACGCTATGAATATGAATTTCATTATTTGCATGGAATGTTTTTGTTAGAATTTTCGGATTTTCAATTTCCTTAAGAAAAAAATCAAAATTTATGCTTGAGATAAATTGAATACAGCACGACACTTTTAGAAACAATACTTTGTTCACATAGATTTGATAATGTTTATCAAAATGTACCATTCTGTTCAATGTTATTAAGTAAATATCACTGTTAATCATGCTTTCGTATGTTGTTTTTCTTTAGAGAAAGGACGACTTTCTTGAAGCACTACACAAAGCCTTACCTGCTGATTGTCATCTTGGACAATATATAAGACGTGACAGATTTTTTTGTACACGATTTCCATTAGAACCACTTACTGACCTTGAGCGTGTTCTAGCAGAAACTGCAGCTGACAAAACATGGGAGGAAAATATCCCTCATGAATGGATGTTTCTAAACGACGAGATACTTAGCACAAAGGCGGATCAGCGTATTTTGTCTTTGAATCATGTACTACAGAAAATGCCTGCTGATAAATACAGCATTCAAGAGAAAGCAAATGATATGCTGCGATATTACCATGATACCGGTAAAATCCTTTACTTCAATGAAGCAGGCCTGGAGGAGTTTGTAGTAATTGATGTTCAGTGGTTTATTGATGCATTCAAAACCATAATTACAGATAAAATGCATGTGTCAGGAATAGATGCTAGTGGCAATGACTGGCAAGAATACTACAGTACGGGTTATCTTAAAGAATTTCTTCTCCTTGCAATATGGAGAAGAAAGGATGAAGACTTGCTGAAATCCCTGAAAGAGGAAAACATTTCAAAAGAATGTGAACTTGTTGAAGATGCACATTTTTTTACATATCACAAACGAACATTATTGATGTACATGCAGAGATTAGGCTTGATTTCGATCGGAGAAGTCTCCCACTACATTCCTTGTATCAACAAAAAGAGTTTTGGTAAAGAGCAAAAGGGAATCATACAGACTTCTTCATCTAGGTCCTCCATCTTTGTCTTCCTATTTGAATTCCTACCATACTTTCTTTTTTACCGCTTGGTCGTTAAATTGATTGGGATCAAAGATTGGAGGGTTCTAAAAAGTAGTAATATTAGTTGTTTGTACAAGAATGCTGCTTTGTTCACTTACCAAAATCATAATGTTGCCGTAGCAGTTACGCAAACAACAATCCAGTTACAAATTTTTCATCCAGAACCAGGCTTTGAAATGTTGAAAGATGTGACATTGTCTGTCAGACAGCATATTGAAAAAATAATGGAGGACATTACGAGGACATTCCATCAACGCTTGAGATATCGCATGGGGTACACCTGTTACAAAGAGAAAGAACAAATATTGGGTATAGAAATAACACACAGTTTCATTGACGAGAAGGAACTCCCCATTGGGAAAGAGGTAACATGCCCTCAACATCAAGTTGAAAAGAGACATCATATTAATCCAGATTATCTTAGTGCGTATTGGAGATAGGTTTGAATGTGTTTTGGAACAAACCCCTTTTTAAAAAATACTATGAACGCTGCGACATTTAAATCCAAAAATACTTTTATTAAAAATTAGTTCTTGAATTAAATCAGGACTTTCAACTACCCATTCTGTACGACAGAATTTGATTTTTTCTTGCTTGAAATGGGATTTTTAAATGACCACATCATGTCAATTGAAAGTCCCATTACCTTTTATTCACAATTGATAGTGTCAAAGAATGCAACGATCTAAGTTAATTTCTGTACAAAATTATGTTTATTCTATGTTTGGCCATCATTTGGTGTAAAAAAAAAAATAATATTGTTATACGTTTAAAAACAGTTCCTATATAAATCTATACTAAAAGGTGTGACATTTCCTATTTTTCACGGATCGGTCATAAAAAAATCGATGTTTGACCGCAGAATGAGATGTTGAACCTGTCAGTGAGATAATGGACCGCTCAAGTCACATTGTGGTCTTGATCAGCTAAATCTTATTTGCGTTCGTTGATGTTGGACATTGAAGGAATTGACATAGTTTTACCGCAGTACGATTAAAGGAAATTTTCATCATGGAATCCAACACAAGAGCCATGTACGTCAAAAAATATCATAAAAGGTATTTCAAAACATTCATTGGTTGTGTTTTCGGGCAAAACACGTTTTGTCGACCCCTTGAACCAATTTTTTTGCCTGCGGCCTAATGGTCTCAGGTAAACAGTTTGCTTCTTGTCTATGATAAAACGCATGTTACCCTCGAATCCAGTCAATAAATGTATAAAGTTTTTTTTTTTTTTTTTATTACATTATAGACAAGACCTTTATTTCAACAAAATATCATTACCAAGTGTAAATTGAATTTTTAAATTTTTGTCAATGTTAACAAATGTATATATTTTTTAAAAGCAATCTCAACAAGATCTAGAGACGAAACACTACATTGTTTACTTCTAAATTTGGAACATTTTATATAGGGTTGTTTTGTGGCCTACTATTTTTTCCTTTAACAACTGTATGTATCATCGGGATATTGATCTAATGTAATGAACATGATGTTTAGATAATGATGCTGTAGAATTTATTATGATATGAAATCACAAAATAATGTACTATTAATCCGTATTTATATAGTATTTAGGTTGTGGGAAAATCAATAGGGTGGGTGTTTTAGACCCAAACTTCTACAACTTCATTTATACACATCCAATTATCAACTTTAGCAAGCATCCAAACTTTAACTTCTTATTAACTTAAAATGTTATTATCAAAAATTTAAAAAAAAAAACTAGGTTAAGGGTGATTATGACATCTACATAAAAGATTTTCGCTTCATTTTAATAATAATTGCAGGAAAAAAGTTATTTATTTTCTCATAATAGAGAATATCAACTTATGTTACAGTAAATTACTTCATATTATAAACTTTCATTTGAAGTACATTTTTTTCTGTTTATATAACAAATATTTATATATAAATATAAGCTATCGAATTTTCCTTTCGAAAAGTTGACTTTATACAAAAAGTACTAAAATCAAGGTACTGGAAAGACTGAGTGTAATGAAAATTCTGGGGAATCATTACTCATAATTACAAATTCTATGGAACTGTCTGCTAGAAATAAAGAAACAATACTTTTCTGTATACTATAGTGTGAATCTTTATACATATAGTTTAATTCAGCTATGTTATTTCTTTGTATTTATTCTTTAGAAGTACTGCATATCTTTTTATAACTTAGTTCTAGAATTAAAATAATCTAATGTATATCTATTTTGTAGTTGAAAGATACACATATGCTATTTGTTACATGTATAACGTGTAAATTACAATTAGTAGCTATAAATGGAATAACTGATATGACATAAACGTTTAAGAATGGAATTTCTCGTCTCGAAATTTCAGAGGGAGGCTCATGCGGTATTTTCTCCGTATGAGTGACATCAGGTCGAAGTTTTTTATGTTACTTGGATATTGAGGTGACTTAGTCTCTTTGGATTTCAGGGTGGCACACACAACTTTATTAGCAGTACTAGTTTCGATAAGAGCAGTTCTGTTAAAAAAAAAAAAACAAACAAATGCCGGGGTACGGGTATCTCTGATTGATGATTATACGCTGTTGTGCGCTATTTAAGAATGTTTAACCCTGAAAGAGAGTTCATTTGCTTTAGATGAAGTGACACAGTTTTGATTTACTTTATTAAATATTTTCTACCGCGGCAGGAGACCTCCGTTTTTAAAGTAATACACAAAATGACCCATGAATTTTTGATGTTGAGTGCTGAGAAAAAACAGTAACTACCAAGTTAAGCACCATAGGAGGTCACGTGACGAAATTCAGGGACGGTCATTCTTTTCTGATCGAGCTCCGCTAATTTTGACCAAAAAATTATTTTCAAAACTTTTTATGTATACATGTGTGTTTCTTTATGCTGTATATTTCTGTGATTTGGATTACTTTCTGGTGTGATTTTAATGCGTTATGAGGCAATTATAGCAACATAAACAAGTACGTTTATTTGTCCTATTGTATTACTTCAGTGAGTATCTATTCATTATTGGTTGTGTAATGATTTAACGACTTTGACAGTCCATTCTTTGATTAAAAAAAAAAAAAAAAAAAAAAAAAAAAAAAAATCTTAAAAACAGTGAACTTCTTGTAAGCTCAGATATTTCTGTGAGAATTATAGATTATGAACCTTTACAAGCTGTGAGTGCGGTTGCGGGAGATAGTGTAAAGTGTATACAGCTGAACAGGGACCTTTGGAGAATATATCTTCATAACAATGAAAGTAGACAATAGCTCCTACAACAAGGGTTTGAATTTAAAAACCAAACTGTATCCGTTTATGACTCTAACCCCTTTTCGTCTGGAACACTATCTCCTAAAAATTAGGTGTTAAGAATCACAGTTTCAGGAATTCCGCTTTCAGTCCAAGATACTGGAATTAAAACTATGCTTAAAAAATTTAACGTTAACTTCAAAAGTAAACTTCGCTATGAAAACATTTGAAATCCAGAAACTGAAAAAAATGAAAAGCGTCCTAAATGGAAATCGCTTCATTTACGTTTCCCTACTAGCCGACGGCAAAGCACTTCCCCGAACTAACTACTGCGCAGGTATAAAATGCAGAATTCACTACTTTTGTCAATTCTCATCAAAGCATGAAATAAAATGCCACAAGTGCTGACAAACTGGCCATTGTACAAAGAACTGTCAATGTGAAATCTGTTGTAAAGTCTGTTAAAAAAACGAGACATGAATCCAGGGATACTCAGTGTGAATTCTATCAAGACAAGAAAGTTGTCACTTTTCAGGGCTTCAAATACATCCTCTCAAATTTCCATGTGAGTGAAATCAAAGTTTTTGGAGAAAATCACAAGTCAGCATGCGCTTCAAATTACTAAAGCTATTCGAAATGGCGATCTTGTGGCCGCAGAAATAATTCGCTCCGCGACGACTGCATTAGACGCAAAGCGCATCGAAGATTGTATCTCCAAAACTGAATCATGGAAAAAAAACAGAAAACTGAGGTCATGTCTACTATTATAATTGCTAAAGCTTCTCAGATCAAACCCTTTCAGGAAGCTCTACAAAAATGTGTTCCAAAGTCTATTATAGCGGAAGCCACATAAGATGATTTCTAGTGGACTGGTATCAACATATCAGCTACTCTAATATCAAATTCAGAAGCTTGGCCCCGCAAAAACATGCTTGGCATTATAATCAAAGATGTAGCAAAAAGCTATCGTCGCAAACCAAGAAGCTTAATTAAACAATTAAAATTAATAGATCGCTGGAAGAATGTTCCTCTTACTTCTTAAAACTAAAAAATAAACATCAAGAGAATAATGTTATTGAAAAAAATGACCAAGATAACCAAACTTTCTTAAGTAGTTATGATATCTTGGGACAGTTATGTAATTTCTATGAAAAATTGTATGCATTACAAAACCCAAAAACTGAAGACATAAGAATTATCTACAAAGTACTGAAATAAAAACCAAAATGAACACGGAACAACAACAACAACAACAACAACAAAAAAAATATGCGAGGCATTACCTACCCTCAGAGAGTGTGAAAAGGCAATTTAATGCATGAATAACAATAAATCACTTAGTCTAGATGGCATACCAGTCGAATTTTACAAAATACTGTAAGGACAATAAATATTTGTATTTAACCTGGTATTAATTACTTTTCCTACACTCTACATCATTTCGTTATAATAATACGTGGGCTCTGTACCTATTAACTGTCAACAAAACAAGAGAAAGTCTTTGTATAAAAGAAACATATTATAATTTATTGTATAAAAGTACATTAAAAAACGCAACATTTGGAACTTCCAGGTTACTCTGAGAAGGGGTAAAAATAGAAGGTGCATCACTCTGGAAACGAACATTGTGACAGAAAATCACTTTTATATCATTCCACACTGTGACAGAAATATCGTATCTAAAATTCGTAGTAATATGTAAATATCCATGTTTAACTAAAATAATAATCATACGTGATAACCATGGATGGCACAATGTACAGGCCCATGTAAATCCATAACAAGATTTTGGAATGATATAAAATTATTTCTATGATTCACTTTTAAAGTCTTTTAAATGTGAATGTATGCTCCTAGGACCTTTAAAAGATGCATGTAAAATTCAAAAAAATGATCCTGTAAAAACACTTTGAATCTATATAGGACTCAACAAAAACCACTGTGAGGAAAAAAATCGATTGAAAAAATAAATAAAATTGTCGATACCTTTAAAGCATTGGAAAAAAAACTGACTATTTTTGGTAAAAGAGAAATTGTAAATAATCTCATCATATCACAATTGCAGTTTATAGCAAGTATTCTTCCGAACCCTCCCAAGGAATATTTCAAACAAATTAACAGAATAATTTATAATTTGATATGAATGCTAAAGATAAGATAAAAAGGAATACCCTTATAGGATTCAAGGATTCTTAAAAACCAACAATAGTTGAGTATCTT